CGTTGAGGCCATTCCGCTGGCGCAAACAACCCCTGCCTCGCCGACGACGCAAAAGTGTTCGTTTCCCCTCGTTTCGTCTTCGGTCCGCCTTTGCACCTTCGGTCCGCTTTGGCTTGTGGATGCCATGACAATGGACACTCTAAGAATCATATCATTGACTTAAACATGTGTGACACATGTGTAAATCATGTTCTAAGCATGCTTCAAACATGTCTTTTAATATAACATGTTTGAAACATGTTTCAGCCATCTGGAAATCATTTGGCAGCGCACTTCCTCTCCGTGCATCGACCTCCGCAAAACCAGACGGCATCGAAACCGGCACGGCCCGCGACGCCGCCCAGACGCCGTCCAGGTCGACCCTTTGGACGCCCGAAATGGGTACGAAAAGAATGGGTACAATGCCCAACAACAAATGTTGTCCCAAACCAACAACGGCCGCTGTTGGGCAGGCGGCGTTCTGTCTCAAATGGACACAGGCCGTGGCGGCGCGGGCAACGAGTCCTGTTCAAAATGAACAGGAACTGCTGTTGGGCATCGCACCCATTCTTTCCGTACCCTTTTCGGGCGTCCAGAGACCCCCCGGGGCCCTCCGGCGGGCAGGAGGCCCGGGGACGGGGGAGGACTGGGCCCGGGGGAGCCGTCCAGCCTGGGAACAACTCGGCGGTGCAGTGCCGACGCCGAGAGCTCGGCGGTCGGCGCTGAACTGTCGAGCTCGGAGCCCCGCGCTTCCGCGCGGGGCGAGCTCTCGGGCCCCCGTCGGTGACGGAATGGCGGCGGCGAGCGAGAGGGGGGGGGGGAAGCGAGGAGGAGCAGGCCCTCCCAGCAACACCGCCGCTAATGCTGCTGCCGGCGCACTGTTTTCGTTGGTGGGAGATGAACGCGACCTCGTCAACGCGTTGCCGGAGCTTCGGAGGCCCCCCCCCGGCCTTCCGAGCAGTCCCCTCGGCCTTCCCCGCGGGCCCGGGCGGCTTCCCAGGACGGCGCGGGGGCTCCCGAGGAGCCCCGCCGCCCTCCGAGAGGGCCCTCTCCTTCCCCTTCTCGCTCGCCCCGCCTCCCTCGCTCGCCGCCCAGCCGAGCAGGGGCGATCGAGGGCAGCGGCGCTCCCTCCCGAGCCTCTGCCCCCCTGGCCAGTGGCCCCCCTCTCGAGCCCCCGAGAGGAGAGGAGGAGGCAGGGGGCCGAGGAGGAGGAACGGCAGCAGGCACGGGTGGAAACGCTCTCTCTCGCCGCCGCGCATCCTCCTCCTCCTCCTCCTCCTCCTCCTCCTCCTGTTCCTCCTGCTCCTCCTGCTCCTCCTTCTCCTCCTCCTCCTCCTCCTCCTCCTCCTCCTCCTCCTCCGCCCCTGGTCCACTTGACGGGTCGGTGGCCGTCGCGGCGTGGGCACCCCCACATTGGGAGGGACCTCTCGAGCTCTCGTCGGCCCTGCGCGGTGTCCAGAAGAGCAGGAACGCATCCGGGCACAGGAGGGCGTGCAGGCAGCTGCAGAGCTCGGACGTGCAGAGGCAAGGAGCGGACGGCGCTGCAAAGCCCTGGGAGAGCGGAGCATCGACAGCGCGAGCACCAACTCTGCAAGTGGCCGGGGAGCCCCCGCGCCATCCCCACGAGCGTTGCTCCACCCCGGCGGTGTGTGGGCAGGGGACGCGCGCAGTGCGCACAGGGCAATTCAACTCGTCGCCGCGGCGTGGGCCCCGCCCCCCCCAGAGATCTGGGCCGCTTCCTCGGGACCGCCTCCTCGGTCCGAGCCGTCCTTTGGGCCCGCACCTCGCACTGGTAGACCGGCCCCGCGCGAGGGAGAACGTCAGGGCGGGGCTGGCTCAGGGCGGGGGAACATCGACCTGGGATTCGCGGATCGATCGGCGATAGGCTTAGGTCGGGCCTGTCCCCCTACAAGGGGGCTTTGGCAGAAAAATTGAAAATGCGGAAAAATACGCCAGAAATGCTGAAAAATAGTAAAAAATTGTCCCCAGACAATTTTTTTTACTATTTTGGAATATTCCTCATGTGGAGGGACGGGCCCGACTTACCGATAGGCCAACGATAGCAGGTCCCCACCTGCCTGGGTGGGACGGGCTGTCGGGCCCCTATCGGCGATCAGTGGGCGATCGGGGGTCGATGCGCCCCCCCACCTGAGCCCATCCCCCCTTAACGTTAAGTCGGGCCCGTCCCTCTACAGGAGGAATATTCAAAACATGTAAAAAAAAATCAGGGAAATATTTTTTATTATTTTTGACCATTTCGGAATCTTTTTGGAGTATTTGTTATCTTTCGTCCAAAATCCCCCTGTAGGGGGACAGGCCCGACCTAACCTTAACGTTGCCCCTGAGTCACAGCGTGGACCCCGCCCCCAGAGATCTACTTCCTGGGGGGCTGTCGTGTCGTCCCGAATCGTTTCTGGGCCCCGAACTGGCAGGCGGCCTCTGAGACACAACCGCAGCTGCCTCCCGATGGAACCCCGAGGGGTGCCGCGCGCGACGGGCCTCACCATCGCACTCTTCCCGGTCGCCTCGTCGTTCGTCCTCCCCCTGGTGCTCGTGTCTTCGTCGACGTCGTCGTCGTCGTCGTCGTCGTCGTCGTCCTCCGCATCTTGCGGGCCGATCTCCAGCAACGTCGCGGTGGCTTCGGCGCCGCCTGGGCATGAACAGCGCGCTGCCTCTTTCGGACTGTGCGGCCTCCTTGCCTCGCTTTGTGCAAATTCTGCGGGAGCGTCCCACGCAGGAGGACCTCCTTGACGCCAAGGTGGAGCTCACACTTCAGGGCCCTGCGCAGGCCGAAGAACGGTGACGAGCCACCGATGGTGATTCCTTCACGACGCGAAGAATCGCCATGACGGAACCAAGTCCTGAGGGAAACGGGTTCTGAGGATTTTCGTCGTTTTTGGCCTCGTTGGGACCCTCCAAGGGTCCCAGGACGGTCAGAAAACGATTCAGGATGAAGAGCTGGTCCTGGGGGAAGGCCCCAGGGTCCAGGACCCGTTTCCCTCAGGATCCGCTTGATTCGCCTACACGCAGGAATGACCCTAGGCAGGAACGACTTTGGTGCGAGTACGGGGGGGAACCCGACCATGCAAGCCGCTGCTTCAGTCAAATTGCATGATAAGGATGCGCGGTAAGGATGCAAGGGCCTTGGAGGGCCATTTGGCGTTTTGAATGGAGCTGGCCAGCGAAAGTCGCCAAGGATGGGCCGAAGGGACAGGGATGCACGGCTAGCCTTGGCAAGCTGTTCATCCCTACTGTGCGACTCGACCGCACCGCATCGCATGCGGCGATCGGGGTCCCCGGTGGGCCCGCACCAACGGTGCTTCCAGCGAGGGGCAACTCTTGCGTGCAGTCGGGCCTGGGCCATCACCGCCCTCTGGTGCTACTGGACGTGCCCCGGCCCAAGGTGCCCCCCAAATATCCAGGGAGGCGCCCCGGGCCTCCCGGGCATCCCTCACTAGGCCCATGCACAGAGGGCCCCAAGGGGCTCGAGGACGAATCGAAAAGCTGGGGGCACCTTGGGCCAGGGCCCCTTCCCGGAGATCCGACGGCGAGAAACGATGCAGGCATCGTAGGAAATCGCGACCAGAGTCTTAGACCTTATAGACCCCATCTTTCCGCGCCATCTTTTCGAGCTGGACCGATATGTGTGAGACCCGCGGGGTCCGAAACCTGACGACAACGCCCGGCTCGAAAGCCGAGACGCCAGGGCTTGGGAACCCTCGCCCTTCCCTCGACGTCCCCGACGAGCAAGCGCCGCCCGCGCGCCACCCCTGCCGCCTCCTCCATCCTGCCGCGCAAGGAGAGCAAGCCCTGGGGGAGGCGGGCCTGAGGCCCGAACACGACGCATGGCGCTCGCTGCGGAAGCCCGGGCCCGAGCCCGAGCCCTGGAGTCCTCCGCGCTTCTCGGGCTCGCGGGCTCCCTCCTGGGCACTTCGGGAGCAACGTTCGGCTGAGACGAAGCCAGGACGAGGGCAAACTCGGGTGAGGATAGGTCGAGAATCTCAGAGGTTTGGCGGTTCTGCAGGATGTCTCGGGCTCCGCGCCGCGGCCTTATCAGAGCGTTCCAGGACGCTCTGAGAACGTTCCGGATCGCTCTGGGACGGATCTATCCTCGTGCCGGCCCCGTCCAACGAGCCCTGGAAGTCTTCCGCGCCCCTCGGTCTTCGCAGGCTCCTTCCTGGGCCCTTCGGGGACAACGATCGGCCCCCGATCACCAATCTCGCTCGCCGCAGGTCGGACTTGTGGCGTCCAAGACCTAGATAGCAGCGCCGTCCAAAGCGCGTGATACGTATGTGCACTTGCCAGGACGCTCGAAATGAAGCCTGGGGAGGTTGCAAGCTGGGAAAAGGGAACTCGCAGGAGCTCCCAAGGAGCTTCGAAAGAGCTGCGGAAATGCTTCCGGCACGCATTTTGGGAACGAGCAAGAGAACGCTTGCCGGAACACGCTGCAACTTCAAGCAACCTGCTCTGAGGTGTCTGGACCGGCGCCGGAAAAAGCTGCCGGGCCACCCTGCGCTGCCAGCTTCTAATCTGACACCCTCTTAGCGTTAGGTCGGGCATGTCCCCCTACAGGCGGATACATTTTAAAAGAGTCAACAAATACAATCTTCAAAAGATCGTCCCCAGAGTATTTTTTTAAACTATTTGTATATATTCCTCCTTTTATAGAGGGCCACGCCCGACTTAGAGTAATCTTAACTTTAAGTCGGGCCTGTCCCCCTACAGGGGAATGTTTGACGATCTTTTCTTTAATAGAAAAATCCATAAATATCCTGAAATACCAAAACATGACAAAGCATCGTCCCCAGACTATTTTTTATTATTTTTGAATAGTCCCCCTGGAGAGGGCCCCGCCCGACCTAATCTCAGCTCTCAAGAGC